CAAGGGCTGTGTAGAACATGACTTCTCATCCTGCTGTTCATCAAATTTGTTTTGCAATTCACTATGAAGCCACAGAATCTAGGTTCCATAAATTACCAAAGGAATGTAGAATACTTGCGATTAAAAGTGTGAACATTATGATAAATTTATGGTACATGTACATGTCAGGGGCTGCTGTGAGCCACTAAAAGTACCACGTGCAGAGCACAGCTTCGTTTATGTTCTTGTTGACCTTGGGCTGAACTGTCTGAAATGAGAACTCTTGAACCTAATCAACTGAAATGTAGCTTTGTCAGTACTTTATGTTGATCTTATAAACACACAACTTACAGTTACATATGAAGTACCAAGGAAGTACTTACTGGGTACCTACTGGTACAAGTACAGGAAATAAGGTACATAAGTTTGTGTTTAGATGGGACATAGAATTGTAACAACGTTTTAAAATTAAATTAAACAATTACAAACAGAGTACCAAACATTGCAAAGCCAATTGTTTAAATATACCATAATTTAAAATGAATTATAACAAAATGTTTCTCATGTTCTCATCATTGTAACCCCCATTGCTCCTGCCTTATTACTTACTGCATCATACTATAATTATTAAATATGCAATCAGTATTAAAATAATGTTACAGGTGTTAGCTACAGTATAGTATAATTTTTCTCTCTTCTTACAAAGTTGTTACCCCCTTTAATTCCTGACCTTTCGTCTTATTCCCCTGCCCTTACATCTAAGTACCCAATCAGTATGTTCCCCAGTTTACTGCTGATGAAATACACTTTACACCTTACTATTGTCAAGGTGAACACATTAGTATGCCGACACTTGCATTTGGCTCAGAGCTTCACTGTACCCAAGCACCACTAGCATGGCTGTAGACTCATGCTAAAGCAAAGTAGATGGATCTTGTGCACAGTCAACCCAGGCTGAGTCAGATGTAAAAACAAGTGGTCCGAACAGTGAATATTACAGTCTTGCAACTTTGTAGCACCTCCTCTTTGTAATAGTAGTTTTTAATAATTAATTTACACATGTATACATCAAGCTGTTCATTAATGTGATCACCAGAACACAAAGAGATAGGCACCGAAATGACACCAACAATTCATCATCTGCTTATAGTCTATTACTGGGCTGACATGGTAATGACATGTCCCCTTCCCAGGCCATAATAAGTCTTTAACAAGCTTGTCACCATTACCTTTCTAATTTAAATAAAACTAATTATTGTTGTCTTATTTTTATTTTAAAATCAACTCATCTTTAATATTAATAACCTCCCAGTTTTTACAGTAATAAATTGGCTCATTTTCAATAGGTGTGATTTTTATTGAATCTCCTCCTTTGTTGATTGTACCCTGCAATATAAATAAAACTCAAGTTAGACATTTTTTCATTCATGGTATACTGAGAAAACACTTGAGCAACAACATTTATTTTTGACACCAGCAAATTATTAAAATGTAAATTATTTAGAAATATGAAATTATTGTTGCATAACATACTCAAGTGTATTCTTTTAAGCACTGATTCTCAGCAGGTGGTTAATTGTTTACTGTATCTTTTATAGTGAATTGCATAACATTCTTCATTTAACAGTGTTTCCTCTTTACCTTGGTTTCTCAATGTCTTCAATGAACTCTGGCAGTTGGGTGTTTAAAGTTTCAGGCAAGAGTGAGGCCACTAAACCAGATCCAATTGCTACTGCACAGTAAGTGACTGCAGGTAGGAGATGCCATACGTCCTCCAATAGCATGATAAGTGGGGATATGGATACGCCCAGCCGAGCCAGAAACGCTGTGTAGCCTACACCGTTCTGTCTGAGAAATCAAAGTCCTGAGGTTAATATAAACTTGTAGTACATCTTGCACCAACAGAACAGAAGTTAATTGTTTGCGTTCAAAGCACATGCTCTTAACTGACCGTACGACTGTGGGATAGAGTTCAGTTGTGAAGAGGTACATAATTGTGAAAGAGGCCTCTGACATGGCTTTTCCAAGGACTGCGACAACAGTGCGAATTACCCACTTATCTGAGAGATGTTCAGATATTTGATCAAGAGCATTGTCAGACGTACTGACAAAAAATGAAAAAGCAGCAAAATGAAATCAATAAATTTAAGCAAAACCTTAAATTACCTTGTGCAACAAACATATTGATGAAGAGGCAGAGTCCGGTCAACAGCAGTGTCCCTGTCTCACCAGGTTTTCTACCAATTTTCTCCAGGAAGAAATACACACCAATCTTCATTGGCATTTCGATGGATGCAAATATAAACTGTGTGAGGTATGGGTTTAGACCAAACCCTGTGATATTTAGACTTATCCCATAATACGTAAATGCAACTCCGTACCTAGAAAATTAAGAAGAAGAAAAAAATCAATGTTTCTGCGCTGACATGTTCATTCTAACATTAGGATGATTAAGGCTTTTACAGGAAAAATGTAATTGATATATATAACTGGGCAGCACGGTGGTTAGCGCTGTTGCCTCACAGCAAGCAGGGTCTGGGTTCGAGCCCTAGCCAACCTGGGGCCTTTCTGTGCTCTTCCCGTGCTTGCGTGGGTTCTCTCTGGGAGCTCCGGCTTCCTCCCACAGTCCAAAGACCTGCAGCATAGGTTGTGTAATCTATATGCCACAACCTGAGGGACAGCAAATGAACTAGACGCACCAATGACTGGGAAACTACTTTGAAAATGTAGTTTTACAAACTACCAATTACTACACACGGGAAGACATTAAACTAGTTTACTGAAATGTAGTTTGGTAAACAGGCAATTTAGAGTCACCAGTCAACCTAACCTGCATGTGTTTGGTCTGTGGGATGAAGCCAGATTACCCAGAGAAAACACACATAGGCACGGGGCTAACATGAAAAGTCCACACAGAAAGGCTCCAGTCAGTCAGATGCAAGGTTCACATCGAGCAACAGTGCTAAAAAGTGCACCACCCTGCCAGTCTTCACAAATTCCAATTACTGTACTGTAAATCCCTGAACAGTTCATAAAAGTCAATAATGCAAGGCTTCTGATATCCTATCTTATCATACAGTCTAACTGATATCTGGGAATGAAATTTTCCTGAATCATGCATCATAAAGGGTTTGAACGCTAGCACATCAAGGATTATAATCTTTTATGATTCTAAAGTCAGGACTCTTTTTGTGGGCCATTTCACCATTTTTGCATACAATAAAGATAAAAGCCAATACCAAAAATATTTGAAGAACATACAGACAGCTGACAAATGAAAGGGAAAATCAACATAAAGTGTCTTTGTAAGGTGTTGGTCCACCACATGCTGCCAGAACAGCTTCAGTGTGCCTTGGCATTGATTCTATAAGCCTGGAAAACTGCAAATACATTTGTGTCCTCCTATTCTGAAGTACAGGATAGTATTTGAATTGAGGAAGTTCTTATTCTTATCACAGCCATAATTCATCCACCATGATCAGATTGGTTTTATTAAAACGCACTTGGCTGTTGACAAAATTCACCAATTACTGCTTATAACTGAAGTCTCTTGAAACATTGCTATCTAGAATCATTTTGTCTTTGCATGGTGAATGGCATTTAACTGATCTGATGGAACATTTTATTTGTTGCTCCAGCCACACTGTCATGGCTGTGTAACTGTTCACTCGTGATATGAAATTCCTTCCTATACTTTACAATCAAGCATGATGCACCAGGGTGTTTTTTTTACCCTTATTGTTTGCTTTATTATCATCATCATCACTGGCACAATCTGTTTATCTGAGCTGCATACAGAGATAATAATTTGTATGCATATGACCATCTTCTTTATATTGGGAATGCTACTGTTTATCTCCAGCACCTTTGCATCTTCTCATATTTTTGCTGTTTATCTGGATATAAATTAGCTAGTCTATGTGAGCTTTATCACCTTTATATATATATAAATTCCCCACTCGCCCCCACTTTGGGGCGGTCTTCTATTCCTTCCTTCAAGCTCGGGTCCTCTACCAGAGGCCTGGGAGCTTGACGGTCCTGCGCAGTATCTTAGCTGTTCCTAGCACTGCACTCTTCTAGACAGAGATCTCAGATGTTGTTCCTGGGATCTGTTGGAGCCACTCCCAGTTTTGGGGTCACAGCCCCCAATGTTCCCATTACCACAGGGACCACTTGTGCCTTCACCTTCCACATCTTTTCTAGCTCTTCTTTCAGCCCTTGGTATTTCTCAAGCTTCTCATGTTCCTTCTTCCTGATGTTGCTATCGCTTGGGATTGCTACATCTATCACTACAACCCTCTTCTTCTGTTTGTCCACCACTACTATGTCGGGTTGGTTGGCCATTACCAGTTTGTATCTTGAAGTCCCACAGGATCTTAGCTTGGTCATTCTCAACCACCTTTGGAGGTGTATCCCATTTTGACTTTGGCACTTCTAGCCTGTACTCAGCACAGATGTTTCTGTACACTATGCCAGCCACTTGGTTATGGCGATATATATGATTCTGAGAGAGTCCAGAAGGCATATGTATAAACTCTGGACAGGCTAGCTTTTTCCAGTTCTTATGCTAGGCTACGTTAACCACGCCCTAACTCTAGCTTTGTAATCAACACACAGATGAGAGAGCTATCAAACTTCTCATTTAACTCACAGAAAGAAAGCAAATAAACATATTTCACAAAATGCTGAGCCCCTTACCATGAAATAGATACTTACCACACTATTCCTGAGAATACTGTAAGTTTCCTAATCTTTGGGGTCCTAAAAAGATCCACAACAGTGTAGTTCTTATCTTTTGTTTGTGTTTCTGCACATTCCAGTAGTGTCTGAGAGAAAACAGGACAAAACACAAAACATATTTTTCATAATGTTGTTGTAATATTGTCTAACCAAAGTGAAAACAATGGAGAAATGTACCTTTGTTGTGATGTCAGTCATACACTCAGTTCTGTTGTTCATCTCTGCACATTTCTTTATGTAATAATGAGCGGCTTCTGCATTCCCATTAGCAGTGAGCCACCTAGCAGACTCCGGAAGCCACCTGAATTTACAAACATGCCAAGTTCAGCGTCCGAGTTCTGCTTCTAATATAATTCAGCTCTAAAGTGTAAAAATATTAAACTTTGGTACCGCCAGGCAATGATGGCCAGTATCAGGGGTGAGGTCACTGCCAAAATGAGCATCCTCCATTCGTTTACACAATATGCAATTCCAACCAGAATCCAGCTGCCAACTGTCCAATCCAGGCTTATGATTATACCAGAGAAGGTTCTGTGTTCAACGCCAAACCATTCAACATCTGCAGAAATGTCAGCACAAATGGAAAGTCTTCTTGAAAGTAAAACACAATATTATTTTTTTTTGAAAACCAAATGTGAATAAAGCTTAAACATGTTTCTCCACTCAGTTAAAGGTTAGTGTTGCTTTAGCACTAGGCCACTTACTTAAAACAAGAGAGATGATACTTATTCCTGCGAGTGACATCCCCGTAAAAAATCTCATGATAACAAACATGACATACGATGGTGAGAATGCACTTAGCACTGCAAATATTGTGGATGATAAATAGGATACCAACAGAAGTGGTCGTCGCCCAAACCTGGACAAGAATAAATGGGTAAAATGTTGTTCATGTACAGTATATTGATAATGCACCAGACAAAAAACAATTTGCACACAAATAATCCAGTTGTTTGATTGCATCATCTCAAATGCTTATTTAATTATGCACATTTTTCATGTATACATTCGTAATCCACTATAATCCTAAATGGAGAGAATTACTCACTGTACCGTTTTGTCAAAAGAATCAAAAAAAGAGAGGAGATAAGAAAGAAAATAACTGCCACACACGGTCAAGGTAAAGGCTACAAGCAGCTTGATGTTCCAGTGATCGTTAATGAGAGGTTTAAAGTCAATGGGACTCTAGACAACTTTTCCTGGACGTGGCTGCAAGAGTACTGGGAACTGGAGCCAATCTCAACTTACCTTGGGCAAGAGATCTATGGGCAGACACACCAAGCTGACATGAACGAACTACGTGGGTTCTCTCCGGGTGCTCCGGCTTCCTCCCACAGTCCAAAGACATGCAGCATAGGTTGATTGGTGTCTCTAAATTGCCCGTAGGAGTGATTGTGTGTGTGAGTGGTTGCTCGTCTGCGTGTTAGCCCTGCGATGGACTGGCGATCTGTCCAGGGTGTACCCCGCCTCTCGCCCACAGCACGCTGGGATTGGCTCCAGCCCCCCATGACCCTGTTTGGGACTATGCGATATAGAAAATGGATGGATGGATGTTACATTTGGGCAGCACAGCAACACGGTGGTTAGTGCTCACAGCAAGAAGGCTAAAGGAATTTTGTGCGGAGTTTGCATGTTCTCACTGTGCCTGCATGGGTTCTCTCCAGGTACTCCAGCTTCCTCCCACAGTCCAAAGACACACAGCTCGGGCTGATTGCCCATAGGAAGGAGTGTGAATGTGTGATTATTTGTCTACATGTCAGCCCTATGATAGACTGGCGACCTGTCCAGGGTGTACCACACCTCTTGGCCAATGTCAGCTGGGACTGGCTCCAGCCCCCTCGTGACTCTATTCAGGAATAAGCGGTATAGATAATGGATGGATGTTAATTTAGCCACAGGGGTTGTAAGCCAGTGACTTCTGTGCCGGTCCAAAGCCCGGATAAATAGAGAGGGTTGCGTCAGGAAGGGCATCCGGCGTAAAACCATGTGAATCATCAGTGTGAATTCCATACCGGATCAGGCGAGGCCTGGGTTAACAACGACCGCCACCAGTGCTGTTGACCTACAGGGTGCTAGTTGAAATTGGACTACTGTTGGTCGAAGAAGGAGAGGAGGCAGAAGGATTCATAGACAGAGAGGGAAGAGGAAAGGCAGGAGTATAGGTCTGAGAATAGGGACTCTTAACATTGGCACAATGACAGGGAAAGGTAGAGAGCTGGCGGACATGATGGAGAGAGGGATGGTAGATATACTGTGTGTGCAGGAGACCAGGTGGAAGGGTAGCAAAGTGCATAGTATCAGAGGGGGATACAAACTGTTTTATTATGGTGTGGACAGGAAGAGAAATGGGATAGGAGTGATCCTGAAGGAGGAGCTCATGAGGAATGTTTTAGAGGTGAAAAGAGTGTCAGACAGGGTGATCAGTCTGAAGTTGGAAACTGAAGGGGTAATGTTGAATGTAGTCAGTGGTTATGCTCCACAAGTAGGGTGTGAGTTAGAAGAGAAGGAGAGATTCTGGAGTGAGTTAGATGAGGTGATGGAGAGTATTCCCAGAGGGGAGAGAGTGGTGATTGGGGCAGACTTCAACGGGCATGTTGGTGAGGGGAACAAAGGTGATGAGGAGGTGATGGGCAGGTTTGGTGTTAAGGGAAGGAACCTAGAAGGACAGATGGTGGTGGACTTTGCTAAGAGGATGGAAATGGCTGTAGTTAACACCTATTTCCAGAAGAGGGAGGA